TACTTCCTTAATCGGTGGCGTACGCGTTCCTAAAAGTCATATACGTATTGAAAGTTATGGAACGATAGATGAGCTGAACTCTTACCTGGGCATGGTGAATGACAGCTGCGGTAATCCCGAGATCAGCGACTGGCTCCGGGAGATACAAGACCGGCTCTTTACCCTCGGTGCAGAGCTGGCCACCACACCCGACAAGGAAGTAAAAATGAAGCTGCCCGATCTGCATGATGAAGATGTGTCCTGGCTGGAGCAGCGAATTGATAAAATGAACGAGGTGCTTCCCGAGATGCGTTCATTTATTATTCCCGGGGGTAATATGGCGGCATCTACCTGTCATGTGGCCCGTTGTGTATGTCGCCGGGCAGAGCGGCTCTGCGTAGGGATGCAGCAGCAGGAAGAGTATGTACCGGATCTGATTGTCCGTTACCTCAACCGCCTTTCCGATTTTCTGTTTGTGCTGGCAAGGTATATCGGCCATCTGGCAGGAGCAGCGGAATTACCCTGGCGCCCGCGGGTTTAAAATACTTTTCATGGCCTAAAGTAGACAGTCAAGTAAAATAATACGCTTTCATAAAATAGGATTTATTATTCATTTTAAGCGAATTACTAAAACAAACAAAGATTACGATTATAAATGCAACTGCCCTTTCAAGTATTGAAAGGGCAGTTGCATTATTGGACGTTTATTTCTATTAATGACGGATCACAATCCGTTGTGTCGTCAAGCGGTCTGTTCCGTTTTGCTGTACTGTTACAAAATAAACAGCTGCTGGTAGATGGCCCACCGGCACACTGAAATGAGTATTATTCATCTGCGTACGCAGTATTTCCTTACCCATCATGTCACGGAGCGCAACGGTATGCACGGCTGATGCATTGTCATTTTTAATATTAAAAGTCAATTGGTCACTGGCGGGGTTGGGGGAAATACTACAGGTAAAACCATTTTTCGACGGGCCTGTAATACCTGAAGGATTACAATTTATCTCGATCCGCTGCGTCTGTGTGGTGCTGTTGGCATTGCTGTCGGTATAAGTCCAGGTAATGGTATAAGTACCTGCTACCGTATAAGTGAGCGAATCAGTGGTGCTGCCCACGATAGCTCCCAGGCAATTATCCGTTGCAGTAGGAAACGCGGTGATGGTATAAGGGCAGGCAACGGTCA